AGAGAGAGAGAGAGAGAGAGAGAGAGAGAGAGAGAGAGAGAGAGAGAGAGAGATATCCTAATGTACACATGCTCGTGAGAGTCGCTTACCCAATTACGTAGGCAGTAATTTTCACGCAAATTCTTAAATAGTGTTATCGGATATATCTGTCTGCACCCGCGTTAACATGATCTGTCAGAAAATGGTCAATAAGTAGTATTGATCTAACGACTCAGCGTAATTAGTGCACGCACGATCCACGAGTCTCGTGCGCGATGAGATACATGCAGGTTGCTGGATGAAGGCAGGTACAGCGTTGTATAGATGCACGGAGCCATTACTGAAATAATGAGCATGACCGCGAGGAGGAAATATTCATATTGCTCACGATAACACGTGAATATGTTTATCTACCCGACTACCTGCCTGCCTGCCTGCCTATGTGCCTGCCTGCCTGCCTACCTGCTTACCTACCTGCTTATCTGTCTGTCTGTCTGTCTGACCACCCAACCATCCATCCATCCATCCATCTATCCATCCATCCATCCATCTATTCATCCATCCATCCATCTATTCATGCACCCAACCAAGTAAAAGAATGAGGTTTGGTGGGCGATGCTATCGGTATAGGCTAGGTAAGGTTGTTGAGTTGCGAGGGCCGTGGTGGTAACCAATTAAACACACGATTAAGGGCGAAGATGCTGGTGTGGGTTACATACGATGGTTAGTGGGTGTAGACGTTGGAGGTGTAAATAATAATCTGGCAGGTAGAACAAAGACGTTTTCAGTCGATGGCGACGCATGTCCAAACATTTGGACCACACATACAGAAGCCTACGGACGATGGAAACCTAACTTGACGGCTAAGTGCCACGAAATCCGTAGAAATGAAAAGAGCGCTGAAAGCTTTGCGTTATGGCCTTTCCGTGTTCATTCTTGCTCTTTCTCAGGCACGATGATTCACACATTTAACATAGAAAACGTGCGTATTTGGACGAATTGTGCACGAAAGTAATCCAATCACAGTTTTTTTTTATTAGACGAGCGCAATTAAATTTCAGTCAATGGAGTTCACGAGTCGGTAACACGCCAGGTGTCGCGCTTGTCCCGTACGTGTGTGGTAATTCTCATCCGGTTTACACATTAGTAAACTTCGTAGAAGGAGAATAGTAAAAATGTGCAGATAAAGGATTAGACAACGAGGGGCAGAAGGTAACAGGCAAGAGGGTGGGACCAGAGTGCACGTCTCGGTCTAGTGCTCATCTTTCTGCCACTATTTTTCACTTTCTTCTAACGTTCCCCGACAGTCAGTTTCTCGCATTTCATCCACCAGCTATATGCGCCCCAATTCACTCCTTCTTACACCCTTCCATGTAAACACACAAACCTCACTCCTCTTCCTTCTTATTCCATAATGCTCATCGATTCTTTCAAATACTTTAACTAGCCATCTCTATTTACTTTATTACTACTAGTGGATCTAACTGAGTCTCCTTTCGCGTGTTGGCTGCGTCGTTGTCTCGTTGCTCTATTTTTATAGCTTACTAATTGCCTTGAATATTTTTTATATATAACTGTACATATACTAGCAGACAAACAACAATCAAACAGCACAAACGAAAAACACAGTAATAATAAACAAATACAATCTAATACAGTGTTTCTAATTCTACATGAACCCCCTAATTATTCGTTGGTTACGTTACGCGCGTCAGTATCTGCCCCTAGTAACGATACGTCTAGCACATCTAAGTAAGGTAATTAATAATCTATGATAGTATTACCATTATCTTAGTGACAATAATATCAGGCTGAACGGAAACAACCCTAGCGCTGCAGATTAAATGCGTAATAAACTAGCGGAGATGCGATTGATTTTCTATAAATAATCGCATGATTCACAGCGATGGCCGGAGTTTTTCATTACATCACGCACTATTTTTTATGGCAATAGGTAAGTCGTAGTAGCAGTACCGGCAGCAGCCGTAGGTTGTGGATAGCAGCCGTAGCCGTAGTAGTAACAGTAACATTATTATTATTATTATTATTATTAGTAGTAGTAGTAGTAGTAGTAGTAGTAGTAGTAGTAGCAGCAGCAGCAGCAGCAGCAGCAGCAGCAGTAGCAGTAGCAGCAGCAGCAGCAGCAGCAGCAGTAGCAGCAGTAGTAGCAGCAGCAGCAGCAGCAGCAGCAGCAGCAGCAGCAATAGCAGCAGCAGCAGCAGCAGCAGCAGCAGCAGCAGCAGCAGCAGTAGCAGTAGTAGTAGTAGCAGCAGCAGCAGTAGCAGCAGTAGTAGCTCCCGAGTTGAGGAAATGAAAACCACAAATATGCTCGTACAAAGTGCCGATACCAGCAGCATCGAGGGGCACGTGATATACAACAACTCTAACGTTACAGTAAAACCCCACCAATCATTTCTGTCCATATCTACAGTTACCTGCTTCAGATTTTGACATGCTCTCCCTTGGCTTTTCTGGGACGCTCACGGCAACAGAGCGCCCACATCCCATCCTGGGAGATGACTTAGACACCTTGGTCCCAATTGTGATTGGCTGTTTATTTCACCCAGGCACGTGTATTTTCGTAAATTTGGGATACCTGAGAGGAATTGAAAACAGCATGTTAATGGAAGCCGATGTGTATTGGATTATTTCCAAAGGGATTGTGAAACCTGTCATATTAGAATCTATAATAGACTACTCTAAACATACAAATCAGGCAATTTATTCGAGAAAGATACGCGCTATTATAAAAGCCGAGTGTTGTTTCCAACCCTTTGAAGTGAAAGCTAATAACTGTAGGTAACATTTACTGCAAATGACAGTAAATAACCACCTAAATCAAGATATCAGCTTTTCCATCCACAAAATCTAGGCAACAATCGCCGCGTATACATTCCAATTCAGCCATGTATAAGGTTTTGCCAGCGAGTACAATTGTTAGGTTCATATTTATGTTTATATTCATGTTGGTATTATTGACACGAAATTCCAAATATGTCATAAGCTAATTAAGTGGAGGAAATGAAGACAAGTTGGGTAAACCAGGCTACCTTTCGGTCAACGAAGAATTCCTCGCCGTAAATCAATCTGATTGTATTAAATAGATTCTGCGCATACCGCACGAGAGTAGTCAAAAATAGGCTATCGACATGTTAGATGCTTCTGAATCTACCATAAAATACAGCGAATGAACCACTTATATTATAAGGAATCATATACACACATGTGCCTGGTATTAAATATAAATTTATAAGAGTGTTGCAGCTTTATTCGTTTTTTTCTCAGTTCTCTTACGTAACCACGCTTACAGCTGAGCCTGTTTCTAGCATATTATTAAAATTTATTATAATTAAATCCCTATAAATGCATATATGCGAACCCCTCACGCCACGGGTGAAAACATATCAGCGCAACTCCATACAGATGCACACGCGAATTTCCTACACATACCAAGGTTTGGTCAGCATACCAATCTCTCACAGAACAAGTGAGCATACCAGCTTCCACTACGCATTAGGTGAGTGCGCCAGTATATCGGGCAACCGGTGAGTTTACCAGCATTCAACACTACAAATGTGCTGACTAGTATCACGCAATACATGTGTGGTTGCCAGTATCCCACACTACAGGTGGCCCTGCCAACCTCCCTTACACCACATGACAGCTAAGCAAACGTCCCCCACACTACAGGTTACCATGCCAACCTCCCCTACACTACAAGTAGATATGCCAACCTCCCCTACACTACAAGTTGCCATGCCAACCTCACCTACACTACAAGTAGATATGCCAACCTCCCCTACACTACAAGTTGCCATGCCAACCTCACCTACAC